AGCCATGTGATAGAGCAGTGATTCTTAACCAGGGTGCCATGAGATCCTTTTAAGAGTGCCACTCAATGTTAGCACTGTGTGCGTATGGAAATGACTATACAGTGGTTCACAAGATAAACCCAGAGCTTTGAAACAGGAATCCATAGTGTCAAAAAAACTTCTGACCTATTGTGATCTTGTGGGTTCTTTACAACAGAATATTTGCTCTATTATATTTCCTGTCACTTTGAGGGGTGTTGTCACCCTAAAAGAGAGCCACTGGGATAGAGCGTGCATGTCTGTTATGGGGAAGGGGCCTTATGGTAAGTTCTTCAAACTCTCTTCGCTCAAAACTGGCATGACCGGTAGTTAAAATTCTTTACCTCTAAATATTGAGAGAGTGACCTGGAACAACTTTGAGTATGGGCTGGCTGATGGCAGGTTTCTTTCCTTCTTTTTCAGTTGATAATGCCTGCTATATATTTGGGACCTTATTTGGTAGTGGAGTTAGGAGCTTGTAGTATTTGAGCAGAGAAGGGGATTGGGACCCCATTTTGACCTGTCAGTTTGCAAGGTTTACAGATCAGACTTTCAATGTAGTTGCTTAAAAACAAATTCTGTATCTTATATCTTTATCCTGGTAATGTCTGGGGCCCCTAGGAGATCTTCTGTTTTATCTGTGGACTAATTTTTAATTTCAAACTCTTAGAAGCTCAGAGATGTTAATGGTGAGGTAAAGAGTCTAGTGGAAAGCTTCTTTTTTAGATATTGGCAATGATTTCAGCTGCATTTCTTTCTTTTACTTCTTTGAGGGCCCTGGTTCCTGTCTTTGCAGAATACAACTGGAGTGAAAGGGATTTTAGGATCATTGGTCTGAACTTCTAAACCAATGCATACTAAAATGTAGTTTGTGGCTATAATGTGGGATGTGAGGGAGAAATGGCTTCTCAGTGTGTTAGCTGGTGAACTTTTAAAAATAATTGTATATCATTGCTGGAACATTTGCTACATTGAGTGCTCTGGCTGCATGGCCATACCCTTTGTTGGTAGGCATGCGACACAGCAAGAAATTTTTCATATACTTTGTCAACACATTATAATTAATCCTGCCAATAAAGGTTAATTAAATGGAATTCCATTTGGCAGTACCTAAGGAGGATCATTCAGCAGCTGGAAACTTCTATTTTAGTAGTTAATTTATCATTGCTTACGCCAAAAGTAACCAGTTTTTGTAACTAACCCATTTGGCAATTTAAATATATATTATTACTTTAACTTGGGATGTTAAGGTTTTTAGTCTGCCTTTTTTTTGCTTAAAGAAAGATGAAATAAGATTGTTAAAACAAAACCACAAAAATTGTCTTTAAAACAAGCAGTCCCTTATTGTTTATTAGAAGTTTAGTACTGCAAAGTTGTTGCTATATAAAGTTCGGCTTTTTTAAGTGAATGTTGTGCTTATGATTCTCAAGCACCAACTTTGCTGGACCAGACATCGTGTGTGCATGCCTGACTCTGAACTCCCAAAACAAGTGCTCCTAGCTTAGTTACAGCCTGAAATCTCGCGGTGATCAAAGGAAATATTACAAGAACACATTGAAGGCATACCTCAAGAAAATGGATGCCGACATCATGCACTGGGAGGGACTGTCTGCCAAGTGAGTCCAGTGGTGCCACAACCTCAACCAAGTGGCAGCCCATTTTGAGATAAAGTGTCTTGGCCTTGAAGCAAAGAAGAAAGAGGAAAGGAAGGAAAAGGAGAGGAATCCCAGTCTTCAGCCTTCTCTCTCCTGGGGGAGGACCTGCAGCTTCCGCAAACGGATCTGTGGCTCAAGGACTGGACTCTAAAATCACATCAGGAACCATCAGAGAGCCATGATAACACAATGCATATTAAGGGATAAACTCTATTCTAACCAGGGAAAACCCTTACTTCAGGAATCCTTTAAATATAACATTTGTGCATTGTTTTCTTATCTTTTACTTAGGCTGGTTGAAGACATTTGATGACTACTTCAGAGATCAGACGCAACATATCCTAAACAACATGATCATCAAGCTGCAAGAAGACAAGAGAAGGAAGTTCATGTGGTCTGAAATCTCTTACTTTTCAAAGTGGTGGGATGGAATAGATAGCCAAAAAAAGGATGCTGTCAAAAGGTTTGGACGTTTTTCTTATTTGCAATTCCACTTTTTGTGGAATGGTGTTCTTAACAACTTGCTCATATGAGATTTGATTTGTTCCCAAGTAAGCTTGTGTCTTTGTGGTGGTTAGCTATAATTTTTTTTGTTGTCAATTTTTGTTTCCATTTTTTTTATATTCCCTTTTTCCCGGGGGGTAGAAGCCAGTTGCAGAATAGCTAGAAAAGAACCAAATAAAAATATCTACGTACGTATGTACTTAGGGCTGTGCAAAGCTTTGGGTGGTAATTCAATTCAGAGGAGGTTCGGCTCAATTCGGTGGCCGAATCTCCAAATCAAATCAGGGGACCAATTTAAAGGTCCAAATCAATTCAAAGCTCTCTGAATCTTCGGCAAAGATTCAGAGAGCTTTGATGATTCAGGAAGTCCTTGGTGGTTGCATCAGGGAGCTGCAGCCACTCTGAGCTGGTAAACGTTAGGGGCGGGGGAGGGGACCATGGGGGAAAGTAACCCGCCTGCCCCAGCTCAGTACTTTAAAAAAAAGCCCCGGTGCTCAGCGGGTGCTGCCAGGAGGGGGTCGATCCCCACTGCCCCATGCTGCATGAGGGGCTCTGCATGAGTCCCCTCGACCCCGGATCCCCCACAGCTGCCCTGCCTACTGGGGCTCTGGCCCTCTAAGAATAAAAAAGCGGAGAAAATCCCTGGGACTCACCGCTCCTGGTGCAGCTTTGGGGGCTCCTGCAGAGACCCCCATGTGGCAGGGGGCAGCAGGGATCATCCCCTGCTGGCAGGAGCGGTGAGTCCCAGGGCTTCTTAAGGGTTTTTTTTTTCCTTAAAGGGCTGGAGCTGGCCTGTGCAGAGCACCCGTGGGGGAGTGGGGGGGAGGTTTCAGGGCTCATGCAGAGCCCCACACACAGTGGGGGATCACCCCCCCCCCCGGCAGCACCTGCTGAGCCGGGGCCTTTTTTTCCCCCACAAGTGCTGGGAGCTGGGGTGGGCAGGGCGGCTCTTGCTGAGCTGGGAGAGGGGAGGGAGATGAGCCTGGCCTGGCTGATTTGGAGATTTGGCTGCTGTTGAATCTCCAAATCAGATTCGGCCGACTCGAATCAGGACAGTGATTCGAATCACCAAATTGGATCACTGTCCCCTGAATCAGCCAAATCCGAAGTGAATACTAGCCACTTTGCACAGGCCTAATATGTACATTGTGCTCCTTTGTTCATGCTGCAATTGAGTTTCAACATTTCATTTAATTTTTTTTGTGGCTTAGGATAGAAAAAATATACTGACCTGGGGTGAAAGTACATTTTTTCTTACTTTTTGCATTAGTAAAGAAAAAAAGGGTTTTTGTTGTAACTTTGTTTTCTGTGTGAGGCAGGATATATATCTAAATAATAAATAAATAACACCCTAGAAAGTGAGTTGTTCATCAGGTTTTTAAAGAAAAGGGCCAGTGGTTTTGACAAAAGACACATAGCAATAAAAAAGATTTCATAGACATTTGAGCTGGAAGGGACCCCAGAGGACCATCGAGTCCAGCCCCCTGTCCCAGGGGCAGGAAGTCAGCAGGGTTCATAGGATCCCAGCAAGATAAGCATCCAAATGTGTCTTGAAGACTTTCAAAGTGGGTGCTTGAACCGCCTCCGGTGGCAGTCTATTCCAAAACTTGGGGGCTTGGACAGTGAAGAAGTTCTTTCTTATGTCCAGCCTGAATCGCTCGCGGCGGAGTTTGTGACCGTAATTTCTGGTTTGTGACCGTAAAGATATAATTTCCTTAACGTCTCTAGGTGAAATTAAATTTTTAGGCATGATAAAATGAAGGCATGGATTAAAATCAGTGACATTTTATCAGCCTGTTAACAAATAGTATGTATTATGTTTCTTTTAGTTTAATTAATCTTGAAATAAAAAAGCAAACCTCTAGTACTTAGTTTAGAGAGCGACCTGAAAATATAACCTTATAATTTGAAAGTCGCCTTGGTAAAAAATGAAGTGTTCAGAGATGGTAGGTTCCCCCACCCCCTAAATCTATCCTGAGAACACAAAATAGAAGATAAATATTTTTTTTATTTTAAAATTTTAAAATGATTGGCTTAGAACTCAAGAACTTAAAAAATCCTGGGATTTTATTTCTTTTCCTTCTTCAGAACCTTTATAGGACATATGTGCCATGTTTCTCTCCAGCCTTGTCAGGGATAGGCACTGGCTGACAAAAAATAACTGTGAGGTTTTCATGTAATCCAGAGAGTTCAAGAGCTGGAACTTTAAGGAAGCAACTAGATGTCATGGGAATTACAATAAAAGTGGAAGTTTGCCATGCTATTTCATGATGGGAGGTAGGCCAAGGCTGGAAAATATCACTTTTTTTGCATCTATTACCCCTGTTCCCCCTCAAGGTAACCAGCTATTCCCTGTACTCACTGTTGTGCTCGTTTACTTATAGAGCAAGTCTGCAAGAATTGTGCATGTGCTTTTTGTGGAATTGGGTTGTGAGATTTGGGAGGCAGTGAAATGGAGGTGTAGATGGAAGCAGCAGAGGATGTGGTAGGATGACAGTAGAGAATAGATAAAGGAAATTAGACCAACATTAGGAAATGGATAAATAAGAAGCATCTTCACTTATTGCTATAATTGAGATCAGCACAATATGTATTTTTTTCCAAGCTTTCAAATCATGGTATATTCCTGCTTTCGTTTTGTATGATTCAGTCTAAGTACTAAAGGTATTACATAGTCAATTTACTTGGGCAATATTTTTACTTTAATAGATTATATGGACTTCACAATTAAGTCATTACTGCCTTTTAAATCATCTTTTAAATTTTCCAACACTTAATGAAAAGTAAAATTTGGGAATTATTTAAGATGGGTAATTGAAGGTGATTTTGAGTAGAAAATAGGAACAGAAAGGAAAGGATTGTTGTTACTCTCACCCCTGTCCAGGTGGAGATGGTAATTTTTGCCTTCAGATAAGAAGTAGCATTTTACAAACCATGATGGTCCTTGGAATACATAAGGAGGTGGTGTAACAGGGGCCCCCTACCTCTGTTACTAGGAAAGAAGAGCACAGCAGGATAGGGAGAGCAAAGCCACGTAACAGGACACAGCAGACTTTGGAGTTTATGCTCTAACTGGAGGACCAGGTTGTGGCTGTGGATGAGGTTTGAAGGCCATATATCAGGATGCCAGGGGGTGCTCTACATGTTGAGACCTGGTCTGGGCAGGAACATGAGGGGCTGAGGCCCAGGAGCTGAGGTCTGAGGCAGTGGACCTGGATTGGGGGTCGTAGCTGGAGAAAAAGGGCCAAAGCCATGAATGCTAAAGCCAAGATAAGGGTTTAGAAACTATAGTGGTCAAGTGTTGGCTTGGGGCAAAGGAGCCATCTCCAAATTGCAACTGAATAAAACCTGTGATGCATGGGCATGGCTCTGGGAGCAGCTGAAGAACCCCTAAGGCATAGTTAGGGGTTCTAACCACAATTAGAACCCCTAAGGCATAGTTAGGGCCAAGAGGGTAGGGTTGGTAGGACCACAGTGGGTATGATTAGTAAAGCAGTGAACCCTGAGGGGTACCTAGAGAGGCAGGACTGAGTTTTGGTGGTGGATAAGCCCCAAGGATAGAGCCAAGAGGAGGGAGCACCTAGCAAGCTATTCTGGCTTCTAGAAGGAGCCTCTCCAGTGTATCATATTAACAACAAAAGCACAGGAGGTGAGACATGGGAGGTGAGGGAGGTCAGAGGGAAGCAGGCTCGCCTGACCACCAAGGGACATCAGATGCTGGGGTCAGACCCTCAAGCCTGCAATAACAGGTTATCTTGAGAAAAGGCTTTTTCTACCCAAACACTTGTCTAACATCTCTCTCAGTGATATGGTTGGAGCATCCTGCTTCAGAGAGGACTGTAAACACAGCTCATCAACTTGGGTCATGGTCAGTGATCCTCTACTAGCCATTTTCTTTTCCTTGATTCCCTTTGAAAGAAAGCTCCTACTGTGTCCTTCCCTCCCTGGCTAAGTTTGTAGGCAAACTTGTCCTGTTGGTTGCTCGCTATGCTTGCAGTTGGATGCCTTGCAAAAGCTGTTGGGCCTATGCCCTAAAACCCTAACAAAAACTGCTTAGGTCACATCTGGTCCTGGTTCACACTCTGATCAGCCACACAAGGTCCACCTAGAATAATAAACTCTACCGTTTCAAATACAGTCAAGTAAAAACTGTAACAAGTCTTCAGTCAAACAGGCATTTCCTCCTAGTACACTGCAGTTCATGTAGGTATTTTAGTGCATTCTGCTGCTTGCAAGAATGTAAAAGTGGGCTGGATGGGCCATTTGTTCCTGAGTTCTAACAGCAGGCTACATAGAGAGAGAGAGAGAGAGAGAACATTATATAGTAATAATGAAGACCAATCAAGAACCCTTGCGTAGATTCAAGATACCATGTCAGCAACATGTACAAATAGGTGCTGGGTTTTGTCCTTTGGGCTTGTGACATTTTATACATATTTTGCATGTGGTGATGTCAGCTGAAGAGCAAACTAAGCAGTCAAAAACAGTAGTGAAAAATAAAGAACCCAAACAACTACATACCCCAATGAAAAAAAGACCCTTTTACTTGCTTCCAGATATGGATCTCTAGTTATATGTCTCTTCTATCAAGATATGATCGTGACCATTAGGGAAAAAAAGTTGTAATATTTAGATGAGGTACTTTTATGGGGGATATACAGTCCTGTAACTGTAGGATTTTAGTCTCAAGGACATCCTTTTTAAGTTGAATTGGATACTGTTGTTACTGCAGTTATAATCTTGAGAAGTGCTTCATGTTTACAAGGTTATTGGTTGTAGCTGTGTTGGTTTAAGGCAGGGGTGGGCAAAATAGCTGATTGGGCCAGCAGTTGGACTCCATTTCCCAGCAGCCCTTGCCCACATGGCTGGGGCTGGTTTCCATGGTGACCCCAGCAGCATCTGCTCTGTGAAAGCTCAAGGCTGGGATTGCCATGGAGACCAGCCACAGCCACGCGGGCAGGGCAGGGCAGGGGCCTGCTCTGGAGCTGCTGGTATCTTGCAATGGAGCCAGGGCAGAGCTGTGATCTGTATCGTGCACACTCCAGGTTGGGGTGTGCAGGCAGGGGATCACAGCTCTGCCTGTGCTCCAGACCTGGCTGTCATTGCTACAAGGAGCTGGGGCAGAGCTGCGATCCCTTGCTTGTGCGCCCCTGCCCAGAGCATGCAGGCCAAGGATTGCTGCTCTGCCCTGGCTCTAGAGCACACTGCCCCCATTGCAAGATCCCAGCGGCTCTGCAGCTGCTCCCTGCTCTGCTCTGCTGCAAGCCCTACCAGCTGTGGCTGGTCTCCAAGGTAACCCCAGCCTTGAGCTTTCCTGTGCAGCTGTGGCTGGGGTCTCCACAGAGACTGGTCCCAGCCACGCACAGGGGCGGCTGGGAAATGGAGTCCACTGCTGACCGGTTCCAGGGCATGGGCCGGACTTTGCCCATCCCTGGTCTAAGGACATAGGCAGGCAAGGTTCTTTGGGTAGATGTGATATCTTTTATTAGACCAACTAAATAATTGATTCTCAATTTTGTTGCACCAGGAACCATTTGTAAACATCAATGGCCAGTCCCAACCCAGTGCCTCTCGCTTCTGACCTGCTACCCCCTGCCCACAGTCCACCAGTGTCTGGGGCAGCGTGGGGTGTGTGTGGAGCACAGGGGAGAGGAGGGCCCAAGCAGCTCCTTGCAGGCTGGAACTCTTGACAACCTGCAACGGGAAAGTCACAGTTTCTCCCATTGTTTTCTCCTTTAAAGGAGAATCCATTTTTAAAGTTTGTTGTTCCATTTTGAATGTTTGTTTGCAACCCTTTCATATATCCTTGCAACTCACTTTTGGGTTGCAACCCACGGGTTGAGAAACTGCATTAGAGGATAGATACTAACAGTACTTGGGAGGTAGAATGCTCCTAAACACTTAACCCAGTAGACTTCAGCTTTCTGGCCCATGCGCTTATTTGTTTGTTGTCTCGGAAAGCTAATCTTCCTCCTTTGCTAGACAGTATCAGTAACCCAGCATGGCGTTTGCAGTAGAGCAGATAGTTTCAGTTGATATGGAACAACACTCATGTTTTCTTGCATTTTTATTCAGTTTCAGTACCATAGTTGAAATAATGTGATTTAAATTTAATTTTTGGTCCTGTGAATAATGAAAGCTATATTAATAGCTTCTATAAAAACTATAGTATATTCTTTTGAGGTAAGTAGTTAACATTTTGTATTTTCACTATCGGCATAAGTTCTAAAATTTGTGAATTTTTATCTTTGTATAAGACATTATTTTCTAAAGCTAGTCTTGACTTTCTGACTGTAAGTTTACTCATTTTCTTCCAGATTGATAGAAGGTGGCCAGTTTGAAATAGTCACAGGAGGTTGGGTTATGCCTGATGAGGCCTCTCCTCACTACTTTGCTTTAATTGACCAGTTGATAGAAGGACATCAGTGGCTAGAGAAGAATCTTGGTATGTACATATGTTGTCGTCTCATTTTGATATTTTCACATTAAACTGAGTTAATAAGTTAAGCTGAGAAGTGATATTTAATGTTTTGCTATGTAGTTTAGTTCTATGAGACAAAGTATTTTTTTTCTTGAACAACTAGGTGAGAAGATTTTTGCTTAGTGCATTATTTTACAGGCCTACCCACAGGAAATATTGATTAAGTCTCCTCTGGTAAAACAATGCTAATTATAAAAAGTGACTTTTCCAATTGCAAATTGCAAATGTAAAGGGCAGCTTTCAATATGCAGCAGTCTGCCTGCACATTAAAAATTGCACAATTAAATCCTTTGTTTATGATTCCTACTTGTAAATACAGGCTCCCAATCAAAGAACTTAAACTACTTTCTATGTTAATTTTATATTTTTGACCTGATTAGTGGAAAATTTGCATAGCACTTAAGCGTGATTAAATATGGAATAAAATTTGTTTAAATAGAGTACTTGAACCCATAGTTTTATGAGGAGAAACAGATATTTCTGTTTCCAGAATTTAGACAATTGTTAATTTGGCCCAGAAATCATTTTCTTCTTCTGGTTTTTTGTTTTGTTTGTTTTTTGTTTTTTTTTAATGAAACAAAACAAAACCAAACATTTTATTTCCTGAGTCCTGAGCCTGAAGTCAAAGGGTATTCAGAACCAGTGAGCCTCTTGGTTGACAGTTTATCATCCTTCTTCCTCTTCCTAACTTGCCTGTGTAAATGTTAGAGTGTGTGCGCTCAGGTGACTTATGGGCTTCTTAAGGACTGGATCCAGACCATGGGTGGAGGCAGTGGCTGCACTAATCCTTGTTTCCTGTAGCAGCTGTTTCAGCATTGATGTGGAACCGAGGGAGTTAATGCTGCTGCTACTCACTCCCTCTTTTTCCGTATTACTGATTTTTAGTTTCCGGAAGTGACTAAAACCCTGGTTTCAGCAGCAAATAAGGGGCAGTGGGGAGGCAAACAGCAGTAACTCCTTGGGTTCTGGAACCGTGCTGAAACACTGGCTCCACTGAGACCAGTTTAGCTCTATCTTCTTTGGAACCACCCTTCACGTAGTTGAAGGAAGCTATTAAATCCCCTCTCAGTCTTCTCTTTGCCAGACTAAATAATAAACCCAGTTTCCTCAGCCTCTCCTCAGAAGTCATGTACCCCAATCCACTAACCATTTTTGTTGCCCTCTGCTGGACTCTCTCTAATTTGTTTACATCTTTGCTATATTGGGGGGCACCAAAACTGGGCACAGAACTCCAGATGCGGCATCACCAGTGCCGAGTAGAAGGGAAGAATCACTTCCCTCGATCTGCTGGCAAAGCACCTACTAATGCAGTCCAGTATGCCTTCTTCACAACAAGGGCGCAGTTTTGGCTTCTATTCAGCTTATTGTCCACTTGAACCCCTAGGCCTTTTTCTGCAGAAGACTACTTGGCCACTCAGTCCCCAGCCTGTACATGCGATTGTTTCCATCCTAACTGTAGGATTTTCTGTTTGTCCTTATTGAACGTCATGAGATTCATTTTGGTCCAATCCTCCTTTGTCTAGGTCACTCTGAATCCTAGCCCTGCTGTCTAGTGTATCTACTACTCTCAACCTGGTGTCATCTGCACACTTGCTGAGGGTGCACTCCATCCAGTCATCCAGTTTGTTGATGAAAATATTGAACAAAACAGGCCCCTAGGACCAACTTCTGGGACACTCCATTGGTATACACTGTGATACCAGCTGCCAACTAGACATCGAGCCATTGATTACTACTCTTTGATCCCAGCGATCCAATCAGTTTTCTATCCTTACAGTCCATTCATTCAACCCATACTTCTTTAGCTTTCTGGTGAGAATGTTGATATGGGTCTACCAACCCATATTAAAAGACCAAAAGTTAAGGAATTTATCACATCCACTACTCTCCCTACATCTATAGAGACAGTCATCTTGTGTCATATAAGGCAATCAGGTTTCACAACCTTGACCTGCCCTTGATGAATCCATGCTGACTGTTTCTAATCACCTTCTCCAGGTGCTTAGAAATGGATTCCTTGAGGACCTGCTCCGTTATTTTTTTCCAGGGACTGAAATGAGGCCAACTGGTCTGTAGTTTCTCTGATCCTCCTTCTTGCCTTTCTTAAATATGGGCACTGTATTTTCTCTTTTCCAATCATCTGGGACCTCTCATGAGTGTCACAAGTTTTCAGAGTTAATAGCTAGGCACTCTGCAATCATACAAACCAACTCCCTAGAGGTATTCTTAAGACTTAGTTTCCATTTATCTGTGTAAATTAAGCACCGTTCACATGAATTTTCAGATCCCTGTGTTTAATAATATGTTTATAGCTCTTGTTAAAATAAGAACTAAGAGAAAGATCAACTGTATTTTCTTGACACTCAACAGGGGTAAAACCAAAATCTGGCTGGGCAGTTGATCCCTTTGGGCATTCGCCAACAATGGCTTACCTTCTGAAACGCACAGGATTTTCCAACATGCTTATACAGAGAGTTCATTACTCAGTTAAAAAGCATTTTTCAGTACAGAAGACACTAGAATTTTTTTGGAGACAGAACTGGGGTAAGTGTATTTCTCTTTAACTTACTTTGTCATATTTTTGCTTTATACTTTTAAAAATTGAGTATTGGGAAATAGGAATTGAGTAAATAATGGTGACAGTAATTGCAATGAACAGGGTTATTTAATACAAAAAATATAAAGTAATTAAAACTAAGACTAGTCCACATTTTAAATACAACTTCAGAAAATGTTCTATGAGGGAAAGGTTCACTTTGTTCAAATTTTCTCTTTTTGGGGAAATTTTTGGCAGTAAAAAAAATGAAAAACCTATATCTCATTTTAAATTTTAAAATAATTTTGATTTTACTCTTTTATTTAATTTTCCTACTTGCTTTAATTTTTCCCCTGACCAAAAAAGTGCAGAGATGGTTTACCTTTAAAAATACATATTTTTAAATGACTTTTTCTCTTTCTTTTTCAAACTTAATAATCCCTTCCCCCTGTTCCATTGGTTGTGGTGGGGAACATATTTCTTCTCACTCTTGCTTATTTCTCTGTCTAATGGTGAAAAAATTAAAACCAGTGAAAGAGAAAATAACATTTTTTCCTAAAAGAGAGATGCTTAACAGCAAGATACTTGGCGAAAATATTTTTCTTGTACAGTTTGAGTAATAGAATTAAAATAGAAATGATGACTGTTAGAATTATGATGTTCATCAAGATTTCTGTACCCAGAAAAAAAAAAGTTTCTTCATAGTAACAGTTAAAGTGAAATAAAGTTTTCAAATACATGTTTAGGCCTGTTATTTTTATTGAAAATGTTGGTAAATGGCAAAGTGCTTTAAAAAAAAATAGAAATTAGACCTTTGGATAAAATTGAAGGCCTTGTATTCTAAGAAGAAAAAAGAATAAACATAGCTATTTCCTGAAAATAATGTAGTATACAGATGATATTGAAAGCAGCTGAATCCTGCATACTAAGTACATGAAATCACCTTCCAGAATGGCATTAAGCAATGTTGTTCATGTCTCTCATTTTTGTTCACTTATTCTCCCTAGGGGAGAAAGTATATGAAATGGTGTTTTTGTTTTGGAACTTTTCTGGTACGCACGCACGCACAAATTGTTGCTTTTGTTATGAGGGCAGGGTCAGAGAAATGTACCTAACATTTATGGATGGATAGCCGCTAGTTACTATGTGAGTTAATTTCACAATATAGGGCGAGCTCATTGTTTCTCCCTTTTTCTCCATTACGTAGGTAGGATGCCTATGTAATAGAAACTTCCATACCATTCTTTCCCTAACAGCTTTGGTGTTGTTAAGCAACATTAAATGCATGGAAAGTGCAGATATATCTGTCTCTGTCTGAATTCTTAAGCTTTTAAACTCTAAATCAATTCACCTTGAGAAAATAGCTAGTAGTTTCCTACAGGTCTGTGTTTAGTTAGTTAAATATACAGTGCATTTGTTTCCTTTTTAGTAAAATAATTTGAAGCAGTGAATTAGATTAAACGAAGGTATTTCTATGCTATCTTCACTGTTTGTATTAACATACAAACATACAAACAGGGGGCAGCAGGGCAGGCCCTACGAGGAGAGGCTACGGGACCTGAACCTGTTCAGTCTCCACAAGAGAAGGCTGAGGGGGGATCTAGTGGCCTGTTGCAAACTAGTCAGGGGACCAGCAGGCACTGGGGAAGTCCCTGTTCCCCCGAGCACTACCTGGAGTGACTAGAAATAATCGTCACAAGCTGGCAGAGGGTTTAGACTAGATATCAGGAGGCGCTACTTCAGTGTCAGGGCGGCTAGGATCTGGAACCAACTTCCAAGTGAAGTGGTGCTGGCTCCTACGCTGGGGGTCCTTAAGAGGAGGCTAGATGAACACCTTGCTGGGGTCGTTTGACCCCAGTACTCTTTCCTGCCATGGCAAGGGGTCAGACAAGATGATCTGCTTAGGTCCCTTCTGACCCTAGAAACTATGAAACTATAAACTGACCAACAAAAATTAGCAAAGGACATACTGGTAGTGTTGGCAGTATTTGCACAGAATCAGGTTCAGAAACCCATTGTGGGTTAGTGCTCTGCCACATGTTTCCAGCCCCAATTAGTTTACAGTCTAACTCAGGCCTGTCTAACTTCAGTGCAGCTGGGAGCCATATGGTGCCAGCATGCAGCTCCTAGGCTGCTGTAGACCACATGCTGTGGGGTTGCATGGGATTCTCTTCCTTCCCTGCTGTAGTGGGGGGGGGTGCCCCCCCTGCTTGCACAAGCAATGCCTAGAGAGTCCCCCAAGGATTCCCCCTGCCTTCCCTCCCCACTGTGTGGGCAGTGACTGTAGTGTGGGGGCTCCTGTCATATGGGCTTCCCAGGCAGCTTATGGTCCCCATGCTGCATGGGCAGCATTGCTGGCATGAAGCCCTCTCTCAAGTCCTGAGTGAAGCCTTGGTCTAACTTAAAAGTAATTAAAGTAGAGTTTGTAACACCTTGTACCTGATGGTGAATTGTATATTCCTTTGACGCAATAACATCTGTAATGTACTGTGTTTTGATGGTATCTACCTTTTTCCTCTCCACAAAAGGTCATAAAAATCCCATTTGACATGTATGGTGGGTTGACCTCCTGTGGCCTCAATCTTTTGTATTTATAGTATTTTTTGTACATACATAGTTGGCTGTCATGTGACACTATCCATTTCTGTTGTCCTAAAGGTGCTTTCTCTGTCGTTCTGTTGAATGTCTTGTCTGCCCCTCTCTACTTCTTTGCCCCATATTAAAATATAACAAACAAGATGCATCTCAGCAACAAATATCCCTGTCTGGAAAATATTATAAAATTTAAATTTGACATGAATGCCTGGTGTGAGATATTCAGTCTACGCTGCATAGAGGTCCTCTTAGTTCCATGGCTGTTATTAGAGGGGTAAGAGCTCTGAGGAATAAGGTAATATGCTTTAATAGGGTGCCGAAAAGGTAAATTCAAGCTGTTGTTGCCTGAAGTAGCCATCACATTTAGTTCAGCTTATTGGAGACCTTTAATATTAAAATCAATGGGATTTGACTTCCCAGGATACTATGGGTGTCTTAAGTGGATTATGTTGTCAGGGGAAAATTGAAAGAAGGTTGGTGATAGGACTGTAGAAATATTTCAGTCAAAATGAATGGTTACATTTATGTGTCCGGATTTAGTAATGTACATTGGTTTAATACATACCTGTTTACAAGATTAAATGCCATATAGGTGCAAATCTTAATTATTAAAAAAATGGAATACACTTTCAGGTATGCTGTTCTTTTGGAGCCTTCATGTAGGGCTTCTGCAACTCTGTTCCTTATTTGGCAGGTGATCTATTGTTTTGTTAGCAGTTATGAGATGTTCAGGGTGACTTATTCTTGACAGAAGCTTATATAAAAAAAAATGACTAGACTTGGACTATACTTATTCTGCTTTGTACAGTCCAGCAAGTCAACACACTTGTCTGTGTTCTGAGTTGAAAGTTCATACCTCTTTTTGCTTTCCATCCTCTTCCCTGAATTTTTTTTATTCATGTTTTAAAACAGGGCTGTCCACCTTTAAATGACTGGGGGCTTCAGGGTGAGCTACAGGCCCTTCCAGTTCACATGTCGTTTTAGACACTCCCCCCCTCCCCCCGCACTGTGCTACCATGCACCACTTCCACTGCTGCACCACATGTGCCCATATTCTCTCTCTGCCTTCCCCCCACAGACATTGCATGTCCACATTAGGCCCTCTCTGTGCATCCATTCAGGCACTTGTCTTCCCTTGGCCCCCCCAGCTGCTTCACTCATTCACATAGGCCCAGGTTCACCCTCAGCCACTCTGCATTGCTGTGCCCCCTGGCATATGGCTAGGCCATGAAAGTTGGAGGAGGCAGGGGGGCCTGAAGATTCCATCAACTGTTGCAGCCAAGCATTGCAGAAAAGGCGAGAGGGTAGGAGCCCAGGGACTGAAATGGAATCCCTTTTGTGCTGCATATGGCCCATGTGTTGCCAGTTGGACAGCCAAGTTTTAAAAGACGTATGTAGGTATTTTCTTGTCATAGTTGTATACAATATTTAATACAAGTTTTAACTACAATTTAGATGTACTGTAAATTATGCATTTTAGATGTAGGGGCCATTTGGTCAAAAGAGTTGAAGAATATCTAATCAAGGTACACATCACACTTGCAAGTCAGAGCAGAAGGATAAGAAATGGGTTTTACCTCAAGCAACAGATTTTCTTCATGGTGGGAGGGGGTAGTTCATGTATTATGCTTTAAAGAATATTAAAAAGGTATTTCCATCTCCTTTCATTGCAAAGGAAAAACCACCATGTTAAAGCATCACAAAGAATTACAGAAATAGTAAAAGTAATGTCTTTTAGAGATATTCTGACATTTTTATTCAACTTCCATAGTTTCATAGTTTCTAGGGTCAGAAGGGACCTTA